GGTGGGGAAAGGGGGGACGGGGAGGGAGGGGTGTGTGTGCGTGGGCGTGTGCCTCTGTGTGTGTCTGCGTGTGTGTGTGTGTGTATGTGTGTGCGCGTATGTGTGTACGCGCGCGCGTGGCCCCCGCCTGGCTCGCGCTGCTGCTCTTTGCAATATGTGGCTGCAGTTAATGCCGCCGCGCAGGGCAATGCAATACAGCACCATCCGCTGCCCCATTTAGGCACATATATGTCGTGTGCGTGTGTGCGCGCGTGCCACAACCACGGGCTTCACCTAGGACAAGTGAATGCCTGACGAGAGCCGGGGGAGGGAGGGAAGGACGCATCCTGCTCCTCCGGGCGGCTCGGGGAAGCTCCCTGCCCGCAGGATCGCTCCAGCCGCTTCCCGGCCACGGTTGGCGGGGGAGCGGGGGGAGGGGGAAGGAAAAGACACAAGCGAGAGTAGCTGAGACTTTGTGCCCCCGTCGGAGAGATGGTTGAGTCCTCGTCAAGGTTGCTGTGGTATCCCAGAAACACCATTCACTCCGAGCTGTGACCGCGCACCATCAACAGCAACAACTCCGCTGCGCCTGGCCAAGGAATAGGAATTAGGAGCTCTCCCGAATAATATGCAAGGGATCTGCAAAGGGGGAATCCGTGCAAAGGAATCCAGATTAGCAGACTTTTGGGAAAGGGGATGTACTAAATGCGGCCGGCTGGACTTCATCCTGGTGAAGAAAATGGGGATTAAAAGTGGATTTACATTTTGGAACCTCGTCTTTTTATTGCTGGTTTCGTGTGTGAAAGGTAGGGTGGTGCTGGAGGGGCTTGTTTTTCAGGGTCCTTTGCTAGCGGGCTGGGTGATGGGAGTGCTCGCCCTTTCGGGAGCCTTGGCCGAGGGGGCTTCGCGATGTGATCGAAGAAATGATCGGGATCGGGGGGGAAAGAAGGAGTTGATTTAGAGCTCGCTTCGGAGGTGGCAAATGCATTTGCTTGCCAGCCTTGGCGTTCAATGCAGCGGCTGAACTGGGGCTCAATAAATATTCTTGCAGTATGCTCGAGCGGGGACGTGAGTTGGTTCCTATAGACTCTAAGTAGTGTATATTCAAGCAGATCCCACAGGGTGACTTTTTAAGGCGTGTGCCAAGGGGATATTATGTCTAGGGGAGCGGGGAGGCGCACAAACCGATCTTCATGGGAATCTGTGTATCGATGCACTGGTCAGTTTAACCCCTTCTGGAAGGAAAGTTACTGGGGGGCTCGGTGTGCTGGTGCCTCGCGTTCAAAAAGCCTTGTCCACGCTCCTATGGTTGAATGTATGCAGGGGCTTTGGCTGTAGAAGAGATATGCTAAAAAAAATCAGCTTTCAAGGCAAGATATGCCATGGAGTGCCTTCCCCCCACACCTTGTTTTTGGTTTAAATGGATGGAGGGCAAAACGGAAAGTCTTTTAGTTGAGGGCAGGCGATCTTCAGTAAGTCTTTGGGTGCAGACAGGTATAGGAAATGGCATCAGGAGCAGAAACGTGCAGCTTCAATCGTGTGTACCTCGGATATTAGGCAGACATCACTAAATGGTGATACTCCACATCAAGTGCGCCTCCAATAAAGGGATCCATTCTGGGACTCGGAGCATCCTGCTCGCCATTCACTGCCCCCGGGAATAATCTCCCCTTGTTTGTGGGGAATGATGAATTTCTGATTCATCATCCCCGTGTCCCCCTTCCTCTCCATCCGCACACGCACACGCACTCTCCCCCGGAATGTCTCCGAGACATTATCGATCCCCTCCGAGTTTGGAGCCTGCCTCCCTCCCAGGCGTGCGGGGGGTTTCTTGCCTTCCCCAAACTGCAATCTGGCCGCGTGTGTTTGATGAAACAGTTTATTGTCGAGCTCTGCAGCTGGTTGTTCCCACACAGAAAGCAGCCCCATTTGCATTCCGTGGAAATGATAATTCATGTTTCCTAGGGGTGGTGTTGAAGGGCTTACCTCATCGCACGGTATCTTGCCACTATTGGGGATGCTCGGTGCCTTGCCTGGCATGTTAATGCCCGTCCTAATCACAGGGAGCCTTTTCGTGCTTTCTACATTGAAGCAAGCTGTTCCAGGCGCTTTGCCCAATTCTGCAACCGCTCTGAGCTTTGCTCTGAGATCAAGACCAAACCAGGGCATTTGGGACATTTTCTTTTCTTTTTTTCCCCCTCCTCCTTTTATTTATTTATTTATTTATTTTTGTTCTTTTTGGTTGAAAGCACGCCCATTAATAAACTCCCAGTGACGCGTTCCCATTTGCAAGTCATCAGTTTGTTGTCTGCAAAACGCACCGTCCTTCTCCACGTAGTGTGTAATGTATGATAGCAAGAGATTCTCGTTAATGGATGACACCGGGAGCTGCTTGGGAAACAGTTGCTTTGTGAATAGGAGTCGCGTGGAGGCAGCATCCTACAAAATTAAAGACACAGCCGGTTTTTTCCTCTGTAGTGACGACCACGGCTCGAGTATAAGTTTGCATCGCACCTGTTGAGAGGCAGATGGATACACTTGCCCTTGCAGGGAGGGGGGAAGACACGCCAGTTCCTTAATGCATTTGGGACGGAGTGTGTTTAGCAAAAAAAACAAAACCCTCAGTGAAAAGGATTAAAGCCACGAATGGGCAAATGAGCCCTTCTCTGCCCCCACCCCCACGCATGTTTCCCAAAAGATACTGTGAAGTAACACGGGTCAGGGAGAAGGCCCGACTGCCCCGGGTGACGACGACCGCAGTTTCCACACACCTCAGCCCATCTGGGTATCTGGCAGGTGTAACTCCGGGTCCTTAATCCGGATCCCTTTAGGCGGCCGGGTCGGGGAGGGCTGGCTGGTGCTCACTGCAACACTGCGTGGATTTCTGAGCATTGAGATGCAGGTCGCTTTACTTGCCGTGAATGAATGCATTTACCTTGATTTACATTCCTATTGTGTCAGCAAGGCTCTCTACTGCCGGAAGCCTTGGCAGGTGCAGCCCCTGCCTGTCTGCCCACTGAAGGCACTCCAGCTGTTGGGAGGAAGGTGGCTCCCGGCTCCGCGCATCTGCCAGGGCCCCATCCCCTTCCCAAGCCCTTCCCCTCCCACTGCCTGCCAGGCTGCGCCCCCTCTCCACTGCCCCCTGGCACCTACCTGGCCCCAGCCCCTTTCCCCGAGCCTGTTTTACCCTGGCCTCTCACGCACTTGTATCCCTGGCTCTCCTTCAGCTCCTGCCTTCAAGTTCCCTTAGCACCGAGCCTCCAAGGCCAGTCCTTGATCCCGCTTTTCAAGCCCCAGACTACCCGCGAGGGCTTATGTGCAAGTGCGGATTTTTATGTGTGCCGCCACCCCGCCGTATGTTATCTGTCTCCAAACTGCCCGTGCAGGCACTGATTTGCAGCTTGTCTGTCATCGTGCCGCAGGAGCAGTGGAGGGGCTCGTCTCCCAAACGCGGAGGGGGGAGATGATAATCCCAGGTATGTTCATACAGCTGGAAAAGGGGCTACAATAAGCAGGCCAAAGTGAGAGGAAATGCGCCTTCCCCCAGCGACAGCTTCCCCCTGCCCCCCGCCATCCCCGCCGGCTACATGCTCCCGGAGGGGGCCGAGCCCCGGACGGCACCGTTGCGAAGTGCGGGGACTTGCATTGCAGCAGCCCTTGCGGGACCCGGGCGGCCCAGCTGCCTGTCTGTGCTGGAGCCCGAGCGCTGTCTTCTTCCCTGGCAATTTGCACCCGCTCAGGATGTCCCCCCCCTTGCGCACTTCTAGGGATAGGGATAAATAAGGCATTATTGAGGCCAGAAACATGCAAAGGAATCCGTGCGGGACCGGAGCCAGCCCCTCCGCCCCGCTCCAGCCCAGCCAGGGCAGAAAGGCGGGGAAAGAAGCAGCAGGTCACTCTCCCCCCTCCGGCCCTTCAGCCGGGTTTGCCGCCCCTGCGCCCGGCGCCGCTCGGATGCAGCTTCCCCGGCTCAGGCGGCGCCTGGGCAAACAAGGGCTGAGAAGGGCGAGTGACTCGGGGCGAGCATCCTCCGTGCTAGGACACAGAGGCTTGGACAATGAAAGGGACCCCGAGTTTGCACCTGGGGAGAGGCGACAAGGCGTCTGCCGGCCCAGCCCTCTCCCCCTTCTACATGGCTGGGCTGGCTGCGCGTCCCCCCGCGGCAGCGCTTCCCCCGGACAGACGTTCGCCGCCGCCGCGGCCCCAGGCTCGACTCTGCGCGCGGCCACCGCGGCTTTCCCTCGGCAGCCCCCGGGCTCCGCAACTCTGCAGCCGGGCCTGGAAAGTTGAATACGCGGCCCCCGGCCCGCGCTGTGCTGTGCTGTGCGGGCAGGGCCGGGCCCGCTGCTCCTTGCCCGCAAAGGGCCGCGGGGAACGTGGCTGCGAAGCGAGAAGCAGAGCAGACGCCGTCTTTGCCTGCCCGCGCCCGGGCCCCGCCGCCCGAGGGCAGGGAAGGAAGGACTGGCCCCGAGGGAAGACGGTGGCTGCTTCAAGCTCTGGTGGGCTGCAGCTCCCTGTGACGAGCTTCAAGCCACCAAAGCTTGGCTCTCTTTTCTCTGAGCCCTGGCACAGTTCAATGGAAAGCTGGATAGACACTGGCTACGGAGCTGTTACAGATGCTCAAGCACTAACTTTCTAGCTGGTCGGGGTAGACATGTCCAACCCCTGACAATGGCTCGGTCTACATGCATTGCACCTCATCAGCTGGGTGATGTATGTCAGGTGTCAGGGATGTATGTGGTAGAGCTGTTGATCTGAGACAAAAAGAAATGCAAAAATCTAGAACTCCTGATTCCAAAATGATACCCTTTATTGGATCGACTGAGACATTGTACCCCGCAAAAAATCTGTTTCTGCAAGCTTTCGGGCTCATGAGCCTGAAAGCTTGCAGAAAAAGACACATATTTTTTGCAATTTCTCAGTATGTAAGGTCTAGCACTCTGCTACATGTTCCAATGAAGCTGGATAAAAACCAGCTAGAGAGTGCTTGATAACGGGTAATAACTCGATAGCTGCTTTGTATCCGGCTTTCATTTGAACATGTAGCAGGGCCCTATATATATCTACTTTGGTTAGTTTATCTGTTGTGCCTCCTACTTGACTCCAGATTAACTACATCTCTCAGGCAATGAATACTTCCCTGTTCTTGCCCAGCCCCATGCTATGCACAAACACCAACTCTCTCTTCCACCTGCCCATTTTTGCCCATGCTGCTGGCAGCAAAGAATCCAGTGTGCTGGAGGGGCCAGCAAGAGATGAGTTATCCTTCAACCCATCTGGCAGTGCCTGACACCTGGAAGCATGTGCCCACTTTACTCAGAAATTGAAGGGTGATTTTATAACCCTCCTTCTTTCAGAAACATAGAGAAAAAAGCCAGACAGGCTTTGTCCCGATGTTGCTTTACTAATGTTTCTTATGCATGATACACACATGCTTACAGTATGTATACCCACATGCATTGCACACAGCGAGGCGCATATGGCTGGTTACATCTGTGGGCATAGGCATTGCATAATATAAGGGGTTACCAGCATATGCTTGGGATGGCCTAAACCTGTGGTGGCCAACCTTTTTGGCAGGCCACCCTTCTCCAGGTAGCTTTTGATCCCTGACCCTTAGGCTGCATCCACGTGAGTGCTGACAGTTGTTTCCCCTGGGACAAGAAGCAGCAGCACACCTCTGGCATAGTAGGCGCGCTGGGTGGGGTATAGGAGGCTGGAGCCAGCATAGTTGCTGGCCCCAGCAGGCTTACCTGGGGCCCTGGTGGCCTCCAGGGCTGCAGCAGCAGCAGCAATCCTGTCATTC